ATACACCTATGTATATCTATAAAATGAATTTAAAGGATTAATCATCCCATATGGTTGTTGTGGGGATTAAATGAGTTAAATCATATAAAGTGTCAGAAAAAAGACTGACACACAAAAAGAGCCTGATAAGTGTTAATACCCCTCCCCTGTTCCCAAACCATAGTTATTATATCAAGGTTCTTCATCCCTGGCACTACTGACATTTTGGACTAGATAATTCTTTATTGTGAAGCTGTCCTGTGTATCATAAGATGAAAGCATCCCTGGCCTCTACCCATTAGATTCCAGTAGTAACCCCCTCCACCAGGTGTGATGACAATCAAGATGTTCTCTAGACATTGGCATGTGTCCCTTTGGTGGCAAGATCACTTATATTGAGAAATGCAGATCCATATATAGATCTGTATCTACATGTATATGTACTTCCATAAATGCCCCTCAGAAAGTTCTATATTATGTCTACTTATATGCCTTAAGCCCAAAGTGCCCAAAACTAAAGTCAGAATTTTCTGATGATTCCCACTGCTCCTCCTCCAGGTCATCATTTTCCGCATTATTTCCACCATCATCCAGGCAACTAATCTACAAACTAAATTCAAGAAACTTCTTGCTTACCATCTTCATCCAGTCTCCAAATCCCAGAGAATCCAACTCCTTGAAAGATTTGGCCTTCCCTCTTACACAGCTTCTATATTCTCTCTTCATCTCCAATTCAGATTACTCTAATAGTTTTCTAACCTGAACTACTACCAAGATGAGAATTTGTAACTTTTCCAACCTGTACCATCACTGTACAGACATGCACATCCTCTTCTTGCTCTCTATTCCTAATTCCTACTATTGTATGATTATAATAATAAATCAGGTGAGTGGGTGCCATTTTTAATCCCTTTTCTGTCATGTTAGTGATTTCAAGAAGAAATAGAGACAACTTGCTTACATTAGTCTTTCATCCTTAACCAGAGTCCTCCACTGTACTTTTAGGATGAAAGCTAGGAGAACACTAAGTCCATAGGAACCTGAACCCTGGAATTTAATGTTCCAGGTCTTGAGAGTTCTATTCTACCCAAAGTAGATGGTACATGAGTGCTAAAACTCCATAAATAGACACTCTTTATTTTAGAGGTCTTCCTGGCTCATTTCATTTAATGAACAATTTTTGAGCATTTAGACTGCAAGACAGACTGAACACACACAGAATGAGGTATAGGCCTTGACCTTATGATTTCTCAGTATAATTAGAGAGAAATCTAAGGACATAGATTTATACCACTATTAGTTATTGTTAGCTAGTCACAGTGCTAGACTCTTTATCCACCTTCCCTCATATCCTCCTTGATGCCCATCCTCTAAATTAGGCAGGAAGGATTAATTGACTGTTCCATGTTCAAAACAGCAACTGCCAGAACAAGATTCATATTTTCGTGTCTATGGATCCAGAATTAATTTCTTTTACTACTACATTATGCAGAATTGTGTGGTATATGTGGAATATTTTGTAGATTACATTAAGAATCCTTCAAATTAAGTGACAGAAATTCAAAGTGAATCTAACTAAATAAGCCAGCCTATGCCACAAAAGTGGTAAATGAAATCAGTAAATTGAGGATGTACTTGGCTTCTTGTATGGATGTACAGGACCAAGTCATTCAAGTGTGTGTCTCTCTTCCCACTTTTTGTTCTGCTTAGTTCTACACAGTTTTAATCTCAGAAAGGTTCTCCCAAGGTAGCAAAAAGAACCAACAAAATTCCTAGACTTAATCTTAACAACTCAGTAACTCTAGGGAGAAAAGAAAGGTTAAAAAAATAGTTATGATAGAAAACACAAATCAAATGTCTACTATTGACTAATCACTGCCATTGAGGTTTGGAATGTGTTGATTGGACAAGATAATGTCTCCTAAAGTAAGTAAATCCACCTATAAAAATCACATAAAATGTGCTACCTGTATCATACACAGTATAATCAGAAAAACAAATGGCATAATATGTGTTTCTTAAAGAGTCTATTTAAAACAAAGAATTGGTTTATTCTGTATTGTAAGGGGGAAAAGAAAAAAGTTGAAAAATACAGACTAACTACAGAAAATAGCTACTACTCTCACAACTGGTAAAACACATGAAAAGAGGAAGTATAACCAGATTCTAGAATCTCCTCATCTAGAGGAGAAGCTCTATATGCCTGTGTTTGTATGAATGGAGGGTTTCAAGGTGCCCCACATATGGTGCTTGGACCTCTGAAGTAGAGGCTCAACCCAGGGCGGGGCCCAACATGGAAGAAGACCAATGAGCAGGCCTAACAAGTGCTTAAACCTCTCAAGTGGCATAGCCCATGCAATGAAGCGAGGAACGACAGTATAGCTGCCAAAAGAGTGTTGTGCAGCTACTGACTACACATCTAAGGAGATGCAGAAGGTTAAACACATTTCCATGGGCCTATTGGCCATTTGCATGCCTTTTGGGGGAATATGTCTTTCAAATCATCTGAATATTTATGATATATTCTTTTATTGTCAAGGTATCTTTCAGTTTTTATCTTGTTATATATTATGGTTACAATACCTTTATCAGATAAATGTATTGCAAATATTCTTCAAATCTGTGGTTGCCTATGAATTTTTTTTGTAAACAGATGCTCTAATTTTAATGCAGTTTATTTTATATTTTTTTTTCTTTTGAGACTAGTGCTTTCTAGAATATGTTTTAGAAATCTGTCTACACCAACATACTTTCTATGTTTTCTTCTAGAAGATTTATGTTTAAACTTCATGTGTGCAGTGTGATCCATTTAAAACTAATCATTGTATATGGTGTGATATGGAGATGATATTTCTCAAGAACAGTATTTTCAGCATGATTGCTTTAAAAAGTTTCCTATCCCTATTGATTTACTTTGTTGCCTGGTCAAAAATCAATTGACTATATAAGTAAGGGTCTCTTTCTGAAGAGAAAAGAGACTGTACCATGACTTATCTATCTTAATAACAAAACCAATCTATCTGCATTATCAGAGGATATACCTAAGTGTTAAAATCAGTTAGTGTGAAGTGTAAATCTTCTGTGTCATGTAGAGTTCCACAAGAAGCAGATGCCAAGAAATAATTACACCTGCAAGACATTTATTGTGAAAGAGTTGTGAAGGATAAAATCGGAGGGAGAAGGAGCCAGTGATAAAGGCCTTCAGACTGAGTTGAAACTCTGACACCTAAGAAAGAAGAGAGAAAGGAAGGACACAGTAGGAAAATCTCGGACTATAGTGCAGTCCCAAAAACTCTCTGTTTAGGATGACAAGAAGTCCCTATGAAAAGATTGCCTATCAGAAGACACCTGTGTTATATAGATAATGGCCAACTCCTGTATGACTCATCATGCTAAGCTACTACCTGGGGACAGACATCTCAGAGTGAGCGTGGACTCTACCTGAACACAATGGTGAATCCAAAGGAGTATCAGCTTTGGACTATCAGTCAACAAAGAGCTGAGCAATACCTCTCTATGATTGCCACAATCCACTCCCGGAAGCAACTTATACCCCAAAGTTCTTTCTGATTTATTTATTACTTTATTATATTTTATTAATTATTATTTTAGCAATAAACATTGTTGTTATTCAAGCAAGATAATCTAATTCTTGTCCTCCCAATATCTGACATTCTAAATATACAAATGAGAAAACATTGAGAAATAGGAACATTATGGGAAACAGAATCTACTTTAAATGCTTATTATCTTATTCATGAGACAAAGTGCTATGGTCAAATATTGAAATCCTAACCCCCAAATATATTAGAATGTGGGACCTTTGGGAGATGCATAGGTCACAACAATGGAATTCTCATGAGTGTGGTTTGTGCCTTATAAAAGACGCTACATGGAGATCACTAGTCCTTTCACCATGTGAGGACATAATGAGAGGTCTGCAAACTACAAGAGTGCCCTTACCTATTCCACCAGGCACCCCGATCTTGGACTTAATGGCTTTCAGACCTGTGAGAAATAAATTTCTGTTTATAAGCCACCGAGTCTGTGATATTGCTATAACAGCCCAAATGGACTAAGACACAGATGTAAATAAGCTCAAAATGTTGTTAGAAATAAAGTTTATTATCATTAACATATACCCTTTTCTCATTTAAAACTTCATTAAATAAGTAAAACAATGTCTGTTTCTCCCAATATGTGGTATTTTCTTTTAAGTGATAAATAACAGACTACAGTGAGAATTTTATGCTCTTTTTCAAAATATTTGATGTTATTTTAGATAGTAATGAAGACAAGTCTTATAATACATCAGTCATCCCCCCATATTTGGATCCTGAGATATATATTATTCCTTTAATCATACTATGCTAATATGATTGTTGACAATAAAAGGTGGAGTCATATGTATTCAATTCAATTTAAATGAACTGGACTGATTGAAATTCTCAAAAGCATGTGGTATGTAGTATAGATTTTGCCATTTTCAAAGGGAACAAGAAAGAAGAGAATAACAAAAAGAAAAGTTGATAAGAAAATAGAAAAAAGAAAATAGAACAAAATGCAAACATCAGAGGGATTTGATTATACTTTAAGCTATATACACAGTTTGTAACAATATGGAGAATAAGAATGTTTCTATAGTATTTGGCACTTTTGTATTTAGGTGAGCAAGCTGTAATTTCAACTTCCTGTGACTTATGAACCTTACCATATTTGTCCAGATTAGAAATAGCCTAGAGACAGAAACAGTAAGAGCAAAAGAAAAGAAAAGAAAAGAAAAGAGTCAATATATTTATTCTTTTCATACACATGTTATTAGTTAGTAAACTGGTATCAGGTACAGAAATATGGAAGCAAAAATGAAACAAGGTAGCTATAAGGAAAATGATTAAGACAAGTCTATTAAACCACACATGACACAATCCACAGAAACAATATTGGTAATGATCAAAACACCTTCTTGAAAAACAATAATAAAAAATTTTTAAACTTGAATTTCTTTACATTATAACTTCTAATTAAAACATGCTTCTACTCTGGATTTTAAGCAAGGTTTTCTGCAGTGTAACTTTGATATCCTTGTTCCTCAAACTGTAGATCAGGGGATTGAGCATGGGTACCACGTTAGTATAAAACACTGAAGAAATTTTTCCCAGTTCCATAGATCCAGAAGAAGAATATTTAAGATACATGAATGCTGCTGATCCAAAAAAAAGGCAAAGAGCAATGATGTGAGAGCTACAGGTACTGAAGGCTTTTGACCTTCCTTGAGCAGATTTGATGTGAAAAATGTTAGTGAGGATGAAGACATAAGAAATCAGAATGGTAAAACTGGGTACTGTGATATTAATTCCCACGACTATCAGAACTACTACCTCATTGACATAGGTGCTGGTGCAAGAGAGTTGGAGGAGAGGAAGGATGTCACACAGGTAATGGTTGATGATATTGACATTGCAGAACGTTAGTCTAAGCATGCACCCTGTGTGGGCAGAGGCTCCGGCAAATCCCATCATATATGCAGCAACAGTTAGCAAGGAGCAGACCCGATGGGACATGGTGACCTTATACAACAATGGATTACAGATGGCCACATAGCGGTCATAGGCCATTGAGGTCAACATGTAGCATTCTGAGATGACAAAAAAGAGAAAGAAGAACAGTTGAGTCATGCACCCAACATAGGAGATGATATTGTCCTTTGATACAAAGTTCATCAGCATCTTGGGGGTGAAAACAGAAGAGTAACAGAGATCAATGAAGGATAGATTGAAGAGGAAATAGTACATGGGGGTGTGGAGGTGAGAATTGAGACCGATGAGGATGATCAAGCCAAGGTTGCCCACCATGGTGATAATATAGATCATCAGAAACAGGAAGAAGAGGGGTTGCTGGAGCTCAGGGCGGTCTGTTAATCCAGCAAGAAGGAATTCAGTCACTAAGGAGTCATTTCTAACCAATATTCTCCTCTTTGGAAATCTGTGAGAACAGAAGAAAATCCCATTAATAGAAAACCCAGCTCCCTCCTTACACGCTGTCATTTATGAGAAGACTCAGAATTCAAATAAATTCTCCTTTGCTTCACAGGGTCAGAATGAACTACCACATGCCCCTCAATATTAAAATCATTCTGTCTTTTGTTGCATGAGCTGCATGTAACAAACAAATGCTCCTGTCTTTACTAGAAGATACAGGGATGCAGTCGCTAGGATGAAGGATACCTGCTGCTGAGCTTCAGCAGTGGGGAGTATCTCCATCATGCCCTCCCACTCATCTGGTCCTCCACTTTCTAGTTCCTGCTCATGTTTCCATCATCTTACCAGATACCTCAGTTCCCCTGTGATGATGTTTTTAAAAGGGAGAGATAGAAAAAGAAAAAATTCTCCTAAGGCATCAACCAATCAGATATTTTGCTTCCTAAAAGGAAATCTCTCATGGTCTACAGGGTTTCCAGATACCTTACTATCAGAATTCACTAAGTAAATTACTGATAACACTTATTGGGGAGACCTTTGGTAGCCTAGGATTTGCACTTAATGGTTTGTTTCTACACATTCTCCTTTGTTCCATCTTAGCTGTACAGAAAATGAATAAAGGAAAGTGGATGTGTTTCCTTTGCTTTGTGGGAGAGCATGAAAGAGAAATATAATTTGGATGCCAATGAAGTTAGTTACATGTAAACTTTTCCATATGTATAGTATATTTCAGGAAAAAAATGTTTAGGGAAAAAAACCAAATCTTTTCTTCCTCTGATGTTCCTATTATCTGGACATGTCACTTGGAACTGCTATAGCTCTCCTGCTACCAGACTGAGGATGAAGCCAACACAAGAAGGATGTGCTGAGAATAATGCAGGCAATAGGGTCTGAGTTGCATACTTTTGAGTTTCTTGTTATTAAAAGTAAATACTTTTCACCATTTTTCAGCAACAGGGTGAGAGAAAAATAGAAACTTGCATAACTCACTCTCCTTCCATTGCGAAAACTCAGTGCCAAGGCTTTGTGAGTTTCACCTCCATTGTCCTGTAAGAACTCGCTTTTACGATATCAAAACTGAGTAGATATAGGCACAGGATCCTCTTTCTTTATTGGTGATAGTGATAGCATAGATCTCCCAGACTGGATGTTCCAGAAGTCAGACTGAGGAGTAGATCAAACTTCTACTTATAAATTTACTAAGAGAATTTGAAGGGAAACCACATAGCTGACATCGGGCCCACCATGTCATAGAGCACAAGGCTTTTGCTCATAAGCCTTATTATTCTTTTAGACCTCATTAGAAATCTAGGCATAGGTCTCCCTTATGATCTTCCCATCATGATAAACTCTACAGGGAAGACATTGATGTCTGAGTTTATACCCTAATTGTGACAGTAAATTTTAATTTCCCATCAGGGATGATATATTCCCCAGGTTTTACAAGAAAGGATCCTCTGCTTGTATAAAGATGCAAATAAATAACATCATTGAAAATGTCACTAATTGCCATTCTAGGTAATACAGTAGTTTTAGCAAGAATTTGTGGACATTTCAGTAAAGTTTATTAAGGCTCTTTTTAATATTTCAAGAACCTTCAAATAATCATCATTTATCCATATTTTATAAACATAGAACAAAAGGATACTCTTGATTTCAGAGATTATTGCTTAATGAGAAGTTATTTAATAGAATGACAATCCATTATTCCATAAAAACTTTACTTTGGGTTGTTCTCACTCCATGTGTCATGCTTTCAATGTGTTAAAGTTAAATCTATAAGAAAAATCAGGGTTAATAGGCTTCTATTTCTTTTTTTAATTTTTTTTATTGGAGTTCAATTTGCCAACATATAACATAAACCCAGTGCTCATCCCGCCAAGTGCCCCCCTCACTGCCCATCATCACCCAGTCACCCCAACCCCCCGCCCACTTCCCCTTCCACTACCCCTTGTTCATTTCCCAGTTAGGTGTCTCTCATGTTTTGTCACCCTCACTGATATTTTCACTCATTTTCTCTCCTTTCCCTTTATTCCCTTTCACTAATTTTTATATTCCCCAAATGAATGAATGAGACCATATAATTTCAAAAAAAAATATGACTTTAGAACTTCACAGTATATATTAATTTCTACTTGTGCTTGTGAGAAAGCATCTAAAATTTAGCTTTAAATGAGCACAGATTCACGGGTAATTGTAAAAATAATGCATCAATTTCCCCCAGATTCCTACTACAGTGACATCTTCAACAACTGCAGTATAATAGCAAAACCAGGAAACTGAATTTGGTACAATAATGTTAACTTCTTTAGGACTACAGACGCTTAATAGTTTTCAGCAGTTTTACATGCATTGAGTGTATGCCAGCATACTTTCTTGGAAATCTGGTGAACATATCACTCCTGATGGGAAATTAACACTTACAGTCACTTTTAGGGTGTAAACTCAGACATGTTTCTGTCGTGTGTGTGTGTGTGTGTGTGTGTGTGTGTGTGTGTGTGTAGGTCAATGCAATTTGATTCCCTGTATAGATTCATGGGACAAAAGCTACAATTAATATACAGAACTGTTCCATCACCTTATTCTGCCCCTTTGCAGTCATTCACATCCCCTTCCACCTGCATCTCTGTCTTCCAGCAACCACTAACCTGTTCTCCTTCTCCACAGTTGATGCCTTTAGAGAACAATAAATGAAATCATATAATATGTAACCTCTGAGTTTAGCTATTTTTAGCTATTATTTATTTGTGTTTTTTTAATTCTGTGTTTGAAATCAATTTAATTAACATATAGTATGTTATCAGTTTCAGGAATAGAATTTAGTGATTCATCAGTTGCATACAACACTCAGTGCTCATTCCATCAAGTGCTCTCCTTAATGCCCACCACCCAGTTATCCCATTCCCCACTCACGTTCCAGCAACTCAGTTTGTTTCCTAGAGTTCAGCATTTCTTATGGTTTACCTCCCTCTCTTCATCTTCTTTTATTTTTCATTCTCTTCTCCTATGTTTATCTGTTTTGTTTCTTAAATTCCACATGAGTGAAATCATATGGCATTTGTCTTTCTCTGACTTATTTTGCCTAGCATTAAATGCTCTAGTTCCATTAATGTCGTTGCAAATGTCAAGATTTCATTCTTTTGATGACTAATATTCCATTGTATATATACTACATCTTCTTTATCCATTCATCTGCCAATAATAGACATCTGACTTTAGCTTTTTTTAGGATGCCTTTAAGTCCATCCCAGTTGTTATGTGTATCAATGGTTCATTCCTTTTATTGATGAGTAGTATTCAGTTTTTTATAATTCAAGTTTATTCAACCTTCTGTAGTCATTTAAAATTTGTGTATTAATACAAAAATAAATCTGTCTTATTTATGGAAAGTGTTTCAGAGACAGGATCCAGAAGATCACAGTTGAGACCAATTCAACTAAGAATTCTCTTTAAGCCAACCAGAGTCAAGGTTATCATTCTTCCTCCTGTAAGAACATAGGCTGGAACACTCAGAATTTAAGTCAGTCTTGTAATTAGTCAAAGACATGGGGAACACAGGGTATACCGGAACACTACTCTTTCTGAAGTGCACATTAGTAGTCACAATCAAATAGTCAAGAAGAAGCATTTCAATATAATGAAATTTCTATTAGCTACAATTTCTTATTCATTCAACCCCAGTATATATATATATTAGAGTTTCAGAGTTACATACCCATACCCCTGTGGGAAACAAATGTATCAACTAGAGTACAGTGCTTATATACAGGTTTTTTTGCATTTACCCCTGCAATGTATAGTCAAGTAACTGTTTCTGTCACAGAAAGACTTCTAGAGGAAGTCTCGAATAAATGATTTGGTGCTAGATTAGAATCAGAGAGAATATTTATATTTAATATACATATTAAGATACCCAGATACAAAAATATAGATAGATGACTGATAGATAGGTGATAGATAGATAGATAGATAGATAGATAGATAGATAGACAGATAGATGATAGATATATAGACAAGAGTTTGAATACACACAAATATTTCCTACCTCTCTCCACCAAGATGACCTAGAAACAGTGATACCCTAGTAGCAATGAACACACCAGCACCCTGCTCTTGGTTTCTTAATAACATTCTCTAATAATAAGAACTAGGGCTCCTTGGAGAAGTGATTCATTTGGGGGCTGAACCAGGGAAATCACAAAATGATCCTGTAGTATTGTAAGTATCAGAGTGTAAAGAATTATTTTTTAAAAAAGAAGACACAGACATGGTCAAAAGTTCACAGGCTCCAACCTGAGAGCTGTGAAAGAGTAAAGCTGGATCTATTAGAGGAACAAAATAAATACTGTTGACCCTTTAATCACACAGGTTTGAATATATTGGAAATATTTTTTAGAGATTTTTCTCTAGCTTATTTTATTCTAAGAATGCAATATAATACATATAATATACAAAATATGCGTTAACTCTTTATTTCATTGATAAGGCTTCCAGGTAAGTTTTGGAGTTGCCTCTAACCCCCATGTTGCTCAAATATGAGTCATAAGGATATTATTGGATTATAACCCCCCAAAATAAATTCAATATCCATGAATCTACATTGTTACAGGAGAAAAAGAACAAATGTTCCTTGAGAAGAATTTCAAGAATATATGTCTTGATAACTCCTCTCAGGGAAACAGAGCTTAATTCCTCTCCCTTAGACTTAATGACTGGATTGCAAAGGACTGAGTATGAAAAGGGAGAAATATTACATTTTTCTGACAGACACCACCTTATCCAATTGATCAAAGTTAATAACACCAGTGATAAATCATAGTGATATCATGTAGACTTGATATGACAGATGCCTCACTTTACATTATTCTTCCCGAAATGTACAACTCTATCTAATAAGGAAAAAGCATCACGCAAACCCAGATAAGGGTTGGATCCTGAGATTCAAAAGGGTACTGCATAAAGTAAGAACTAGGAACATATTTGAACATGGCTGGAGCTTTGAACTCCCTTGCCTACTTACTACAGATAGCAGTCAATAGCAGTCAGAAGCATTACTAACTTGACATGTTTGAGCTCAACATCTGTCCAATCATTCTCAGAGCTCTTAAATATGTTGATGCTAGAGTAATCCCTCAGATTTCAGGCTTAAGAAATTGAATATATTTTTTTTAATTTCAGTCGACTGACATCTGATTCCAGCCAAGATGGGAGTATGTCATTGCTCTCTACTCTCTTAAACTAAAAAAATCCTGGACATAACAAACAGCAAGACTCTGAAAGGTAAAAAGAAGGCATATCGCCATGGAATATGGGGACTTGGGGAATATAAGTGGTGAATTCCCTGGCTTTTCACATATAACCCCAAGCCACCCGAGACACAGATCTAAAAAACTTTCCTCTAACCAAAGGAATAGAAAAAAGGTAGCCAAGCAGAATACAACACATTTTTTATAATATTCACCCTACAACAGCCAAAAATTAAATGAAAACCTGCCCCACAACCCATGTCAGCAGGGCCAAGCAGAGAGCTACATCTCCAGTCTCCAGTCTCCAGTCTCTTGGTGGTAACAGAAGGCACCCTGATTCCCTTATAGGGATAAGTCAGAAGGGCCACAAGGAGACTAAATTTCTACCTCTTGTCTGGAAATAGGAAGTGGTAATCTGATGCCTCAACCAGCATGGTGTTACAGGGGTTGAGCAACAATCTGGACTCCCCTCCTACTCAGCAACAATAAAATTGAACAAAATGATGGTAATTGGCACTCTTTATCCCCTGCTAGTACCCCCTTGGTCAGTGGGACCAAGTGAGGAACTAGCTTCCAACCCACCCAGTAGCAATGAAGTAAAACAAGATTGTATAAGACAGTGCTAGTTGTCATACTTAGCTCCACTCCCTACTGCTGTCCATCGGATCCATCAGGGAGTTAAACATCTACCTCTCACTTAGCAGCAATGAAGTGCCATTAGTAACTACTCCATTTTGACTGAAGAGGAGTCAAAGAACTGAAGTGGGAGTTAAATTTAAAAAATTTAAAAAGAAGTTAAAAAAAGAAAAAGAACGGCTCCACTTACAACCATGGTGACAAAGACTGATTGGGAACCTGTCTCCCCTCATGAGGCTATCTTAAGTTGTATCAACAACAACAACACACACACACACACACACACACACACACATACACACACACGGGAAGTGTCAGAGGAGGCCTAGTAGAAAGTCAGGACTTTTAATTACCCAGCATTAGTGAGACCACCCTCACTACAGTGTCAGTGGAGAACATGTGGGAAGCCAGAATTCCCATTCCCTCCCAGCAGTCATGAAGCATTTCTTCCCTTGAATGTCAACAAAGCCTAAGAAGGGAACATAAACTTATAATTCAACCTGCAATAATGAGATAATCCTTCCCTTCTCCTACCAGGGCAGTCTTAGGGGAAAACAAAACAAAAACACAGATTACATGGAAGATTTAGGAAGATTTAAATAAGATCCAGAGTATCATACTATAATATTAAGATGGCTAGGTTTTGATCAAAAAATATTTGTCATACCAAGAATCCAGAAGATTATACACTTACAAAACAGACATTGAGATATCAGAGATGTTATAATTACCTGAAAATCATGATAAAGATACACCAGTAAACATTATGAACACATTTGAAACAGATTTTAAAAATGCAAAATCTCAGCTAAGAAATAGAAAATCTCAGCAAAGAAATAGAATAAAGAACAAAAGGGAATTTTTAACTACAATTAGTAAATTAGAGAATGAACTCACCAGTAGAATGGACCAGAATCAATGAACTAGAAGGTAGAAAAGGGGAAACAAGAGACATTACACAATGTGAAGAGCATACAAAAAAGCAACTAGAAAAAAAAATTGAGCAGAGTCTCAAAGGCCTGTAGCACTATAACCAAAAAAATCCAATATTCATGTAATCAGAGTCCTGGAAAGATAAGAGAAGCAGGGCTGAAAAAGTGTTTAATTTGGGGGAAGTTTCAAAATTTCCCAAATTTGGGAAAAGACACAAATATACAGATTCTGATATTTGATACGGTATGATATTTGAATATACAGATTCAAATCCACAAAAATCCATGCCAAAACACATCATAATCAAATTTCTAAAAATCAAAAAAACATGTAGCAAAAAAAGAAATGATACCTTGAGTAGGGGGGCCAGGTGGTCATGGCAGGTGCAGCAGATGGCTCCTCTGGGGAGGCAAGGGTGGCAACAGTCCTCAAATCCAAGGTGACTTTCAGCAGGACATCTGAGGTGGGGAAGCCCCTGGGGCCAGGTTGTCCCAGGCAGCGTGTCGCTGCGGGGGGCTGGAGGCCTGGGTTGTTGGGAGGAGCCACCACTAGGCTGCTCAATGACAACATTCCTGTGGGGGGCCCCACATGAGAGCACATGGCCCCAGTGGCAGTGTCTAGGCTGCCAGAAGTCACAGGGGATGGAAGAACACAGGAGGGTGAGGCCCTTATCTAGAAAAAGAGGCCCAAGCACTGGTTCTCCAAGCAGAATCCAAAATGATGCAGGAGGAGGTGGTGGTCACCATGTACCCAGAACACAAGCAGCAGCAGACTACGTAGCACCTCTTCTGAAACTCAGCCACTGCCATGGCCCAGCTCTACAAAGACCAAGTGTATCAACAGCCTGAACTTTCTCTCTGGGTCGCGCCGCCATCACCAGCCTCTACAAAGCATGGATACCCATCAGTGAAATTTTGACATTGGAATTCAGATTGGTGGCCAGCATAGCAATAAGGATGCATTCATTGGCCTAGGTTATAAAGCTCAGAACTGTTGATAGAGATTTCATCAACTTCCTGTGTGGAAGAGCTCCCCACCAAGAAACTCTAGAGATACCCCAAGACTGACTAGTGTCCCCCAACTTAGCTACTTCAACAAAAACTAGCTCATCAGTACAGACTGATTTATGACCCTTCTGAAAGCCCTGGCACTAAGTGGTAAAACTGTTTAACATATTTCGGTGGAAAAGTGATGAAGAGTGTCCCTGTGGACCCCCTTTCACATTTAGGTTTAGATCCAGGTAGACATTGTCTGGTTTTTGTATATTATACTATGTGCTCTAGTAATGCTTAAGTAGAATGTAACCTAAAAACTTACATGGGTAATTTTTGAGTGTTAGCTAGCCTACCCTAAAAAGAGCAGAAAGTGGTTTAGAAATTTAGTTTAAGCTTATTGTTGTCACAAAAACAATTTTGCAACACTGATTAGAATGTATTGCTTTAAAAGAAACAAACAATCCAATCATGAAATGGGCAAAAGACATGAACAGAAATCTCACAGAGGAAGACATAAACATGGCCAACAAGCACATGAGAAAATTCTCCACATCCCTTGCCATCAGGGAAATACGAATCAAAACCACAATGAGATACCACCTCACACCAGTGAGAATGAGGAAAATTAACAAGGCAGGAAACAACAAATGCTGGAGAAAATGTGGAGAAGGGGGAACCCTCCTGCATTGTTGGTGGGAATGTGAACTGTTGCAGCCACTCTGGAAAACTGTGTGGAGGTTCCTCAAAGAGTTAAAAATAGATCTTCCCTATGACCCAACAATTGCACTGCTGGGGATTTACCCCAAAGATACTGATGCAGTGAAATGCCAGAATACCTGCACCCCAATGTTTCTAGCAGCAATGTCCACAATAGCCAAACTGTGGAAGAAGCCTCGGTGTCCATCGAAAGATGAATGGATAAAGAAGATGTGGTCTATGTATACAATGGAATATTACTCAGCCATTAGAAACGATGAATACCCACCATTTGCTTTGACGTGGATGGAACTGGAGGGTATTATGCTGAGTGAAATAAGTCAATCGGAGAAGGACAAACATTATATGGTCTCATTCATTTGGGGAATATAAAAAATAGTGAAAGGGAATAAAGGGGAAAGGAGAAAAAATGAGTGGGAAATATCAGAAAGGGAGACAGAACATGAGATATTCCTAACTCTGGGAAAAGAACAAGGGGTGGTGGAAAGGGAGGTGGGCAGGGGGTGGGTGTGACTGGGTGATGGGCACTGAGGGAGGCACTTGATGGGATGAGCACTGGGTGTTATGCTATATGTTGGCAAATTGAACTCCAATTAAAAAATAAAAATAAAGGGATCCCTGGGTGGCGCAGCAGTTTGGTGCCTGCCTTTGGCCCAGGGCACAATCCTGGAGACTCAGGATCGAATCCCACATCGGGCTCCCAGTGCATGGAGCCTGCTTCTCCCTCTGCCTCTCTCCCTCTCCCTCTCTCTCACTCTCTCTCTCTCTCTCTCTCTCTCTGTGTGTGTGTGTGTGTGACTATCATAAATAAATAGAAATTTAAAAAAACAGTATTTCTTGTTGCAAAAAAAAAATAAAAAAATAAAAAATAAAAAATAAAAAAAGAATTTATTGCTTTACACTAATGTACATATTTTCTTATTATTCCGAGTCAATGAGGAAGTTCCCACATCTTAGTAATTCTATTACATTTATAGTTGCCTGTAGGGCCTGACCAATGACAGGCAAGTAAGGCAGATTAATTGTTGGGTTAATTCTCATGGGAACTCCCTTTGATACCCTACATTATTGAGGTTGCCTATAAAGGATGAGAGTTGATGGCTCAACTTGGTATGGACAGATGTAAGCATAATTAACTTCCCTTATATCCACTGTCCCTTAGGCCCTTGATTTGATAACCAGGATGGTCAGAGGACAGTCTATCTCCATCTCTATAGGCCATATATACCATAAAAAGCCATTCTTCACTAAGAGGTTTAAGTATTACTGGAGAAACCTGGGGTAGGTAGTCAACAAGTCTCTTATTGTTTGTTCGTCTCTAATAAAGATTTCCAAATAGAACTGGGAGAGGTACTTCTATTGGACAGCATTTAATATTTCTGTAAAAATAAAACAACAAAATAATAATACTTGGTTGAAACCACGATGACAACATTGATGACTAAAGCAGGTGACTAAGAAGATAGAATAATTAGTGAGTTAGATCACGAGTCCTGTTAAAAGTGAACAATTCTGGACTATAGTATAGGTCATCTAAAACTAAGTATATTGGTTGAAAACACTGGGCTTCTATATCATTGAAGCTTTAATTCTTATAGAGATTCCTATCCTCTTTGGCAGACTTTGGTTCTTTACCTAAAACTCCCAATCATAATATAGGATTGGAAAATAGTGTTCTTTTTTCCTCCTGATGATAAGTTTGTTTATGATAAGTTAAAAACACCAAAAAAAAAAAAAACTTATTGCAAGGAAGTCCCTGAAGTGTGGATGCAGTAATTAAGATTGCTCATTCTTTCTAATATAGTGCGCAGTCATACCACCAGAACTTCCGAAAACTCAAAGAAATATTGAATTGTACCTATTTAATTGTAGGGTCAACATCTTTTATCATTAAGTTTGGAACAAATGACTAGAAGTGTGTAGTGTGCCAGGTGACTTTCTCTGCACAGTTGAGCTGGATGTAATTGTCTCTCTTTAACCATTCTGATTTTCTTCCTTTATTATCAAGATTTATTCCATATTTCTCTTATTAAACTATATTAAACTATATTTTTTCTGTATTATACCATACTTTAGAAGATAGTTTTAAGACAAAGAAATGCCACTCCTGCTATAAAATCTTAGTTGCATACATTATAAAAGGCGCCAACCATACCCTCCAATTGTCATTACATTTGCTTAAATTGACTGTTTAACCTGTAATTTATTATTTAACTTTTGGAATTTTAGTAACAATATAGATTTAGGAAGGAACTTTATAGGTTTGACTTATGTTTAGATTATGAGGATTTGAAAATATTTAATTATAAAGCTGTATAGACAAATAGTCTTTAGCTTTAATAAATTTATTAGGTAGAGCCAACCCTGAAAGAGAGAGAGAAATTATATCTAACGTACATATTAAATTTTGTTTTTAAATCATGAATCTCTCATCAGAAACCATGAAAGTTAGAAGGAAATGGAGTAGCATTTCTCAAGTGCTAAAAGAAAAGAACTGTCACCCAGAATCTGATAATCAGTGAAAATATTCTTTACAAATGAAGGGGAAATCACAACATTTTCAGATAAAGACAAGTGACGGAATCTGTTGTTAGCATCCTTCCCTTAAAGAATGGCTAGAAGAGGTTCCCTAAACTAGAGGCAAATGATTTTTTAAAAATTGGAACACCAAGAAATAAGAAAGTATATGCAAAGAAAAAATAAAGGTTTTCCTTATTGCAGTTGGTTTCATTCTCCTCTTGAATTTTCTAAATTACATTTAACAGTTAAAGCAAAAATTATATCATCATCTCATGTGATTCCAAGTAATACACAGGAGAAATGTTAAAGATAATTACAACCAAGAGAGGGCAAAAGAACATAAACAAGTGTATACTTCACTTAAACTGCTAAACTATGATATGCATACTTAACTCAATATCTAGAAAATTTATTTTTAAATGCTATCCAAAGAGAGAAACATAAAAACACTATAGACAAGTCAAAATGGAATTCTAAAACTAGTTTCAGTAACCAACAGAAAGGCAGGGGGAAAAAAGAACAAAACAAAAAGAAGAAAAAACAAACAAAAACCAAAAGATAAAATGGCAAGTGTAATCCCAAATATAACAATAATTATAGTAAATATAAAATGACCTAAACACATCAATTAAAATTCAGAGATTAGAATCATGAATTTAAAATTTAACCCAATTAAGAGGCACCTGGGTGGCTCAGCCGGTTGAGTGTGAGACTTAGTTTTGGCTCAGGTCATGATCTCAGTCATGGGATGGAGCCCTGCAATGGGCTCTGTGCTCAGTGTAGAGTTGGCTGGAGATTGTTTCCCTTTCCCTCTCCCTCTGTCTCTGCTCTTCCCCCTGCTTATGCTCCCTGTCTCTGTCTCTCTCTCTCTTTCCCTAAGGTACATAAATAAAATCTTTTAAATATATATATTTATATATATGTGTATCCCAATTAAGTGCTGTCTACAACATATTAACATATTGACTAAAATAATTACATAAGGAAGTTAAAAATAAAAGAATGAAAATAAGTATATCTGTAAATATCAATCAGATGAAAGTAGGAGTGGCTATACTTATCAGATAAAATATACTTCAAAAAAAGAAAATTACCAGAGATAAAGATACGCATATTATAAAAGGATAAAAATGTTAATCTACCAAGAACACAAAGCAATCATAAATGTGCTTAAACAAGGAACAGAGCTTAAAATATATGTGAAATAAACTTGACACAACTGAAAGGAGAAATAGACAAATACACAATTACAATCAGAGATGTCCATTCTTCTCTCAACAACTGATGGACAAACTAGACCAGAAAACCAGTAGGATATAGAAAAACTCAACAAGGCCATCAACCTACAGGATCTAAATGACATTTATA